TCACAAGTTCACTACTTGAATAACAGCCTGCATTGGAATTGCACTCCTCCGCTGGATGCATCCCACTTCATGTGCGTATGCTATGCTAATGATCACAGCTAACGACCACCAAACAAGAGTGCTATGACTTCCTGGGCAGAGAAAACTCTGCAAACTCACATCAAGCGGCATCCCACAGCAAGTGCTCTCTGGCTCCAGACGCCCTGGTACATGCTCAGAGGTGAGATTCACTGATTCGTCACCTGTATAATCCAGAAGTCAGCACTTCCACTTACCATATGTGTGTGGAAGATTTGCTGGCATGGCCATACCCACTGTCCAGGCCTATCCTTAATTAAAAGAATCCTAATGGCTATGCCAAAGGTTGGAGCTAGCAATAGGAAAACAGCAAAATGTGAGCAGTTAAGCACACAATGAAAACACCCAAATTTACACCAGAAACACACAGGGAGTGAGAAACAATGGGCACAAAATACATCGGTTTTCCCCGCAAACTTTTTGCCTTGTCACAGTCTTCAAACTGTTTTCAAACTGATAAAGCTGTCAACAGCAAAGAGACAGAACTACTGGGTAGGAAGAAGAAATGGCTATGAGAAAATCTTCATTCAAATGGTGCAGTACAAACAATATTTCCCAATAGCGTTTCCTTCGTCAAATAAAAATTCATATTAAAAAGCCTATATTATTGTAAAATTTAAGTTAGTTTACTTAAGTCAAATAGTCAGGAAACATATTCAGAACCACACAGCAATTTCGATTTGGGGCTTTTAAAGGATGTTGGTACTCATTCTTTCCAGGTAATATTCCAAAGTTATTTAGGTAAGGCATAATAAAATTAATTATTTGTAACAGTGCTTTAAAGGTTATTAATTTAGCCATTATACAATCACAAATCAACATTTTAAAACCATTTACACCTTGCTATACTGCTTTTACACAGCAGTTATCTAGCATAACTCAATAAATTTTTTTTATACATCTCAACATACAAACATACAAAAAGTTGCTGTGATAAAGGACAAAGAACTTAATGGTTATCTTGGCAATTTTGGAGGTTTGGGGGGAGACAGGGAGAATGATTTGTTTTTGAAATCCCTTAAATATTATATTTTAATTCTCATTTTAAAGTTCAGAATATCTGTTTTATGTCACATCTAATCACTCCCAATATTCAGTAAGGACAGTGTTGCTGCTACGTATGTCTTAGGATCTGTTGGTAAGTGACACGTAGTATTTTAATTAAATATTTTTATCAATTAGATAAATAGTTGTTAGAAAGCAGTTCAAATGATGTAATAAATAACTAATTTCCTAAAGAGGGAGCACATACCTCCCAAATTAATGCTCTGCAGGACACTGGCCAAGGATTTCTTGTTAGTAGGTAAATATTACCACCTACTGAAATATTTATTTGTGGTATGTATGTCAGAAGAAATAAGAAAGAGCTCACAAAATAATCTCTATTCAAAGAAAAAATTATTTGTCCTCCTAACTTGGGGAAGGGTGCCAGCTGCTTACCTAGAAAACAGAATAACATATCTATTAAAATATTCCAATTGTTTTTTTTTTCTATATTAAAACATATTGCTTGGTCTCATGTATTGCTGGATACAGGTTGCTGTTTTTGTTTAATGTAAGATGTTTACATGTTTATCTTGTCTGCCAATGGGCATATTTGTTTACACATTTACCTTGCCTGCCAATGGGCATATTTGATTAGACAATCATAACATATCTCTTATTAAAGTATTTGTTATGATCTCTTAGTCCTCAGAAGAAATTCTTTTTAATCAGTTTATGGGACTCTGTGAATTTGCTACAGTAATAATCTGCTGCTTACTTTTTAAAAAAATTAAGAATCTTACCCATGTTTTTGATTTAGTGCGTAAAATTTCATTTGCAGCACTTTGTGTAGAAAGACCCACAGAGCAAGGCAGAAAGGAGAGGAGATGAGCCCTGTTTCTCACAGTCCTGCCAAGAGAGGAGTGATGGAATGCATTTTCCCATGCAGAGTAAAGAGAAGTTTTAATACACACAGACACACAAACAGGATTAAGATATTTCATTCATCTTTTGATAGATGATGGGCAGGGAAAAAGATAACACAGCCTTTCTCTATTAATCTGCTGTGATTTGGCAGGATATGCGAAGTTATTTCAAAATTACCATCAGCAACCTTGAAGGAAACTGAAATGTAAGCCAATGATTTCCTTTCATTAACGTATATAATTCCTGATTTCTTTCTTCACTTTGGTTAAAAAGCTGCAGCACGCTCTGCTACCTTACCTAGTTTTTTTGGTTACTCACTTTTATGCTAACTTTCTTTAGGAAGCATGTTACTTGTTTTGTTTTGGAAACACAAAAATTAAAGGATCTGCCCATAAAAGATTATCATCTTTGACAATCGCTTTACTACTCTAACTCATTAGCAACATCTATCTGGAATGTTTTTGTGCCTAAGAAGGGATGCACAGATGTTGAAGCACACACTTGCCACCCCTCTGTGCTGTTTTAAATGATGAATTTATCCAGACGCCCAGGCCTCAATTCCACTTATGTTTGACAACAAAAAACTACCAGACCTTGCTCTTCAGAGGGAATAATGACCGAATGACCTCTTTACATGAAGTGCTAAGTTTCCAAAGGAATTTTTAACATCTGAGCAAAGTAAAACTCCGAAATGAAATATGAATCTGAATCGAAAAGCAGGTTTAGCCACTTCTGAAAAACTGAAACCCACATCAAAGTAATCTTAATAGACACCGTAAGCACCTAACAGTAGACAGGCATTTTGGGGAGGGAAAATCAAAGCAGAAAAATCACAAAAATTAAACAAGACAAAAAAAATGTGCAAGGGGATTCCACATTTTATGGAGCTGTTTCTAATCCTTTTTTTCAGATTAAAAACTGCTATACAGATTTATGAATCATGCATTTTCACATCTGTACACTTACAGAACACAATTATCATCTAAAATATTCAATTTTTCATTATTATTAAAGAACACTGCTTAAACACCTTCAAAAAAAATATGCTGAGAAAGTTGATAGGTGAGTGTGTGGGATTTCTGAAGGCCAGTGGTCATGCTGTGAGCAAGCCAGGTCTAGGTGAAAGGGCAGAAGGACCGCTAAGGGATAAGGAATTCGGCTGAGAGTCAGATAAGGAGTCAAAGAGTTGAGACAAACAGGTAGAGGGGGACGGTCGTTAAACGTAAGGGTGCGTGGACACTGCTAGTTAGCCTGTCACACTGTATAGCCAGACACGTGGACACGGGGTCCTAACCAACCATTGCAAAGAAGCGCTCGTGTGTTCGGGGAAGCCCTGCATATAAGCGCAATTGGAACCCTGAATAAACTGGCACTGCTTGATCACATTGATCGTGTCCGTGGTGTCCGAGACCCCCGCGTCGACACGAGTGCAAGTTAGCAAGTCCACAAATATTATTTTCTTCAAAGGGCAGCATTAAGGACCAGGTCAAAGTACTAATAATTATTATTTTAGATAATCTCATCCAACTTTCTATTATGGAAAACTAATAAAATTAGAGTTATTACTTTTCTGAACTAACTTAGTGTTTTGTCTTTCTCTTCTCCATGCACTTCTTCAGAGTTGACATCCTTATCTCTTCTAGTTGACTTGGTCAGGCTTGTGGAATGCTGGCCAAGCTTTTACTCCCAAAAGAGCCTGAAAAAGTGTGATGGCTTGAATGTAGTACAAAGCTATTGAGGGCATGCAAGCATGGCAGCTAGCCAGAGGACTTACAACCCAACAAAATAGGATTAGAATTAACACGATTCTTGCAAATGCAAAGCCAGCCCAGAGAAGAATTTTTGGATGGCTTTGGCATGGGAATTGGTGAAAGACTTTCCCTAATTCCTTCTATAATTGTATTAGTAGTCTGTTCCTACAGCTTTTCCTAGCCTCTGAAAGCCCTGAATCAGAATGATAAAAGTGTTAGAAGATGAGGATTTATATATATCAGCAGAGAGGTCTGGAGAAGTTGATTACCAAGTATGCCTGTCTCAAGACAATGCTTTTAAGTCTCCATTTTCATAAAGTTAATCACATGGGCAAATATGATAAAACAATTTAATCTAATTCAATAAAGGCAGGTCAATGATTCAATCAGTGAACTTGTACTAAAACCAGTACCCAAGAATTATAAACAGTATTTACAAAGTCTTCATGAGAGAAATGGCTTGCAATACAGCTTACAGTATAATTCAGAAGACAAAATAAGCGATATATAAAACAAGTATGCTTATGCATATCAAGCAACACTATAGGCTACCAAAACCGCATATTTCCAGCTGCTGATAGAATCAACAGAGCAACAAAATTTCCCCAAAGCTGATAACATTCCAACGACCTGAAACCTTGCAACTTTTGGGATATAATATGAACCCCATATTCCAAAAAGAAATCAAGAATAACTGATAAACTGAACAGTTTTGCTGAAGAATACATTCTCATAAAGGCAAAACTATGTATAAAAATAGAAACCTATAAATTACTATTTATGTCATAGAATCACAGAATCCTTAAGGTTGGAAGGGACCTCTAGAGATCATCTAGTCCAACCCCCCTGCATATGTGCCTAGAGCATGTGGTGACCAAAGGTAATCCAAATTTGAATCATTAGTACTGAAACACTCCTCCAGTATGTAGCTTCCTTAAATACAAGCATGATAGCATTCACAACGTAACCCAATTTTTAAATAAAGTATCATGTACTTTACCTAATACTTCAGAAAAGAAATGAAGACGGAGCAGAGATACTTTTGAGTAAATTTTGTTGTTTTGGATAGCTACAGAAAAACTTAGAATAGATTTGAATAGATCACTCCATTCCTAAACTGGTAGAAACAAAGATTTGCACTATGGGTGAATTTTGAGATCAGTCATTAGAATGGAAATAAAAGCAATAAGGAAACAATACCCTTACATGAACAAAACACTACATATTAACTTATGCTGTGAAAAAGAAAAAAAAAATTACCTGGAACAAGTTCCATAACAATATAAATAGGTTGCCGTTGTGTGCAAACTCCTATAAGTTTTACAATATTAGGATGATCATATTGTTTGAGTATTCTGCAAAATATACATTTGATTATATTAACAAATGTCACTGTACAAACCAATTAAGTGTCATATGAAAATATCTTAAACCCTTAATGTAGTTTTAATTGAACATGCAAATAATGCTATCGTTAAAACACCGAGTAAGAGACAAATCATCATTCTTTTGAAACTGAGGGCATATCAACTCATTTATAAATCAAGATCGAGCACTACATTATTTTGACTGTAATCCTACCATTTGCATACCTAAAAACAAAACAAAACAAAAAAAAAAAACAGAAAAAATCCCCTGCTTGACAGGTTTGGCATTTCTCAAGAATCCTTGCAATTAAATAGCTGTTCAGTGGTAAACCTGCAGCAGAGTTATGTCAAAAAAAAAACCCATGTGCTGTTCAAATCATACTCATTCCAATTTTAATCCACATAATTAATACAATAGGTTTTAAAACCAAATAAAGACAGCAATTTTAACTCGGGAATACTAAAAAAAAACACTGTCCATGTTCTTGCACAAAGCTTTAATAAGAACATTTGCAGCCTAAAACAGCAGACTCTGATTTATGAGTGAAATGAAGGTCTAGAAAGAATTCTAGAGAGACTTTATATATATATATATATATACACACACACATATATATTATTTACTAACTTAAGCTTTTTTTCCTATGAAAAGAGTAAAACAGTAGCCTACTTGGTACCTACTTACTTAGTGAGAAATAATGCATTTTATTAGAAATATACCTGCAGTAGCCAACTTAAAAATCATATCAAAGCTATAATGGCTGATATTAGTTCTTCATATAATTTCTTATACTTCTCCATATTCATCATACTCTTTTTGGTAAAAATGAAAATATAGCATGTTCCATTAGAAGAAGAGAGCAAGATAATTTAAATAATGTATATTATATATATGCAAAATAATGTATTCATTTGTATACACATACGATCAGCCCATATTCAAAATACATAGCATAATGTAGCACGACTGACATTTGAAAAACACATTATGCAATCATATGCTGTCTGAAACAGCAAAAAATCAGTCTTCTAAAGTGAATTCTTCTTCCAAAGAGAAATTTAACAATGGGATGCATACTATAAGTTACCCAGATCTGTTAGTCATGCATGTGAGAGCGTAGGTTTTATGACTGAAATAATCACATTCAAATCAACAATGTCTCCGTATCCCAAGCCTTATGGCACAAGTTCTAAACAGAAGCAATCACAGTAAGAGAAATAAGTTTTTATAGGCACAACCTGCATTGCTATAGAGGTGGTTTACACAGGTGCAGATGCTGCTACATTCACTAGTTAAAAAATGTCTACTTTTAGCTACCGGGGAAATATCTGAAGTATGTATTGTGCCAGAGAGAAGAAGGGAAAAGGAAAGTTTAACAATTCCTTCTTCATAATTTTGTAAGGGTCAGTTTTTGCAAATCCATTCAGAAATAAGCCTTGAAAAAAAAAAACAACTTAAAATAAATATATATCTTAATTAATTTTAGAGAACATACCTGGCTTCTGACAGAAATTTTATTTTCAGTTCCTGAGGAAGGTCTTCTTTACAAGTTTTTACAGCAACAGGAGTCTTATCCTTCAATGTTCCTTTATATACCTCACCAAAATTACCCTGAAATCAGGAGAAAAAAAAAGAATTCTAATTAAATTAAACAAAGCTTTCACAAACATCCAGAAAAATACTGCAGACATCTGATCTTAGAAAGCATCTAAATAGGTACAGCATTTTACAGTGCTTTTAGGAAGCCGTACCAAGTCTTCTTCCAATATCTTTGCCCCAATACAACTAATCAATTGCATATTCTACCCTGTGAATATTACATATGAATTCCAATTTGACTTTGCTGGGAAGAGGGAAAAGAACAAATTGTGTAATTACGATGTTTTGTAAAACATCTTAACATCTTAGTAACTTCTAAAGCCAATAGATACTGCAAGTAGCATTTTCTTTCTTATTGTTATTTACTTTCTCTTTTGTTTTCCAGCTGTTGTACTTCAACCATGGCTCTCAAGTATGTTTGTAAGATGCAAAAACACGATCTGTGAAACTAGGATAAAATATTTTAAAATCACATAAATATTCTTACACATAAAAAGAAGGAAAAAAGTAAACTATGAAAAATAATAATTCAGCCTTAATTCTGACTGTAAATGAAAAGAACTGAAAAAAATGTGCTTTTTTTCCCCCAAATGATTGAGCATGAAGCCCACATCATACTTTTTATAAACTAAGCTGCTTGGCACTGTTCTATAAAGACGAGTATTCAGACTTTCACATTTGGACATGAATTTAGAACGCAGTCCTTCTAATGACCAGATTTTGCAGATTTTTCTTTTCAGTGTAAGTTACGTATTTTTTCAATTTTCATACAACTTGACTGAAATAATTAGCAGAATACAACTAACCATATGTACTTGCTACTCAGGAATAGAATGAAAATGAATTAAGACAGACCATGAAGAAGTGTATTATGAGATTAAAAAAAATACTGGGATATAAATAAAACTAAAAATTGATTTTTTTTTTTTAGTTATGTCACATATATTTCCATGAGTTTCCCTCCCACGTGCTAGTGCCAGGAAAAAACTTCTTGGAAATGTCTTCTTTTCTTTCCTCAGTGACAAATTTTTCTTATATCATGCACTTGAATGCTTTAGTGCCAAAGGAAGGAAGATTGCAAAGGATGAAAATAAACCCCCATAGATGAAAAAATAGTAATGCTATTATTTTCAAAGGAAGAAATTCAGGTTCCTAAATGTAGGTCTCCAGGGGTATTTTGTATATCCTATGATTACTGAGCAACAGAGCTAGCAAACAGAACATATGATCTACAGCAGTCATCCCCAGACATTTCTAAAACAGCATTTTTAAAATTTAGGATGCTATCTCTGTTAGCCAAAATAGCACTAGATGTTCATAAGTAAGCAGCTGAATATTCTTTAATCTAAGTTTCTGTTTAGAAGTACTTAACAGAAAAGCAGAATCTACTTAAAACCATATGAAGTATTAAAAATGTTTTCTTGATACAGAATACTGCATTGCCATTTTATACATGATCTTCAATATAACATTTATTTTATGTAACTTTCATTTTGCAGAGTATTAACAAACAGAGAAGAGACTAAATGGACCATTCATTTCCAAGCTGGAAAAAAATCTTCCCCTTATTAAAGTCTGCATCATCTTCTGCATCAATCATTCAATGATTTTGCTATTCACCTTTTGCAGGCCACTCAAGATTTTATCATCCTTCATATTTCTCATCTCCAGGATGAATGGCAGCAGTTTATTTAACATTTTCTCACATGTAAACTATCCCACACCTTTGATCATCCAGTTATTCTTATTTTTTTCTAGTTTGAATATAGTTTATTAGAGACAGATGCATAAAAGGACAAAGAAACTTGTTATTCAATTCATTATTTTTTAAATAACTCTTAACTAGGTTTCCTTTCATAATTTCTTCTAAGCACCTACTTGTCTTTATTGAGGGTAAAAAATGTTTTGCACCAGAAAAAAAAAAATCATAAAATAATTTTAACTGCCTTTACTCATCAAAGCTAATTCATATTTCTTTTCTGTAAGACAAACCGTTTGATGTCTGAATCATTTTTTTTTTATGCTGGAATCATCTTTATTTTTCTCCTTTTGAGAAGTTTCTGTTAAGAATGTAAAACTGCCACTGCACCTGTACAGCATTTTATGTAGATGTAATTCTGTCTATAGACACTTTATATTTCTTGTCGACCTCTTAAACAAAGAGGTATTTATCCCAGGAAACAGATTTGTCAGACAGTATTTAGTCCTAAATGGTATCTAATGGAGCATTTGCCCTAGCTTCATTGATAGGTGCAAAACTGCTTAAATTTCAGCAGAGTAACAAGGTAATAATTAACTGAGCAGAAATATTTTAAAGATTTACCGCCACTGGGCAGAATTTTTGATATGAGGCCCACATTTCATATGAAGATATCAAAGAACTAATTTGATACATGTAACTTGTGTGGTGTACCTACTGTGAAGATACCCTTTATTCAGTAAGTCATACAGAAGCAATGAACATTTGTTTTAACAAGTGTTGGTTAAATCATCCTATTACCATCCTTTATTAAATCACCCTTTATGTGAAACTCATTATTCTGCACCAATATTTTTTTCCTTTGTAAAATTCAGCAAAGTAGAATAGGCACCTAGTGCTTTTCAGAAACCTAGCTAGCTTTCAGGTTAGCCTTTAGGCCTTCCAAATGAGAAAAATATGCATGCTACGGTTAACACTTTCAGCAGTAAAACATATTATATCAATTACCTGTAAGTGTGATTTACATTTACTTAAAACACAATGCTATGGTTGCACTGAAGTAAAAGAACTGGTATTAAAATTGCATACCAGAGTAATTTAAAAGACAAGGAAAATTGAAAATGTATAGACTTCATGACTAACATATGCTTAATTAAAAGTTATTTGGCTCTCTTGCTTACTTACTTTGCCCAGTAATTCCCCCAGTGTGACATCTTCATGATTTAGGACCCATTTCTTATCCTACAAAAGAAAAGAAGAATTTTCATACTGAGTCAGTGTCTCCACCATTTACCACACATTCCAGGCAGTGGAAAAGGACCTAAAGGATCATCTTATTCAGCTCACTTAGTAAACAGCATACCATGAAGTACAACAACCATGAATACAACAGCCAATAAGACAGATTTTAGAAATCTTGCTACACAGTATGATATTAACATATACTATACGGCAAATTTCTATCAGAAGACTGTCTGCAACATAAGAGCATGCATCTGCAGAAGACGGTATGTACTTTACATAGTATTTACTTTTCATAAAAGCTCCCAAAAGTTCTTGCCAATATCACTAAATCAAAACCAGATACTTCCATTTTAGAACACACAACTAGGTACCGCTAGATCCAAAAACCATTTCACTCCTTCGTGTATTGAAAAAGGAACCCTCTTTTCTAAACATGAATTAGACATCTTTTGTGGTAGTAAAATCTTTTGTGGTAGTTCGATATATTATTGTAAACTACTGAAAAAGGTAACATAACAAATGACAATTAGAGTATTCATCAGTGCTGATGATCAACACTACAAATATTCTTGAAGCTTCCTGCTATATGGAGATTTTAAATGGATACTTAGACAAAATGTTATTGATGGATAATTAAAGTCTACACCATATGATAAAAAAAACATGTATTATTTTTCATTTTTAATAGTCTGTTAGCATCTGAACTGCTAACAACCTCGCAGACACTGCTACCATCCATCATGTTACTGCCAGCATCCTAATTATATTTGAAGCATTTTATATTACTAAAGATACAGAAAATAAAAAAAAGGAACAAGTGTCCTACCAATTCAACAAATCATTTTAACCACCTTAAACTCACAGAAAACCAAATCAAACATTTGGCTTTGTAGTATACCTGATATAACAATATCATTTATAGAGGACTTGAGCCCACAGATATTGAGAATGCATCAATTTCAGCACCTAAACAAAACCAAATCACAACACGCTATTAATATCTAGGGGGCACAGTCCCAGATTAAAGCTAGAACATTATGAGAAAAATGTACAGAGTGAATACAGTGTTATGGAATACGTGTTGTGTTGTTGCAATGTGTACCAAGTCCTCTCCTAGTAATTTTACTACCTATTATTGTCTATTCCATAGCATAAGGTTTTGTTAATTAACAGAAATTAAAGAACGTTAATGAAAAGTTTAGGGAATTTATTAGAATTACGATGTTTTAAAGTTACCTGCTTCCTACACCCTTTTACCTTCAATTAAGCATTATGGTTATCTTCTACTGACTGTTAAAGTCAACAAATAAATACAAATAAAGTCAGAGTGAATACTTTTACAACTGAATGTGTTTTTTAACCAAGTTTTTAAAGAAAGCCCTCATTTTTATTCTGGGAGTTAAAATAAGACACAATATCTTTATGTGGCCATCAAAAATCAATACATCAGTTGTAATTTAAAAGCATCTGCTATTAAACATTCTTGTACCAGCACAAAGTAAAATACAAGAGATTTCACTTTTACAAACATAGTGGGATAGACTGAAACATTTAATTTAAGAAACAACAATTTTCAAAAGTATTCCTAATGGCCTGTATCATATTGTTCTATTTGCTTTCAGGACCAAAACAACATTTGGAGAATTTTTACCACCACTTTATTTACCAGATACAAAGACCTTAACATATTAAAACAAATTCTGCAACTGAAAAACTGGAAAAGGAAAGAGCTTGTTACAGCATTTAATTCACAAACATTCTTAGCACATATTATGACATTTATCAAAGTGCTTTTTCTCATGGCGTTCTTTATAAATGTCTATTATATTTAAGACTATGCTGCACAAAGTATTGATTCATCCTCATTTCTGCTAATGCATTTATTAAACTGTTCCACATAGATATTAAAACTAACAGCTATCTGCTGTACTTCTAAGGTCACTCACAGTCTTTGTAACCCTGTAAACGGTGTCTGCTTTCCAAGTGAACTACAGTATGCCAGGGTTCTCTCACAGAAAATGGCTACATCAAAAAGCAACATATTATGCATATATGCGTTTTATCATAGGTCAAAATTTCACTCACTAATGCTAATAGCTTTACAGCATTAAGGTATCAGGCTGAATGCAACTGAAAGGCTTTTGCGGATGCAGCTCTAAAGAGCTACATTTACTATATCAAAATGCATGCACGTATTTTAACCCTTTGATTTTTATTTTGGTGCACCATAAGGCCACTAACTTAGGAATGACAAATTAGAGTAGTTTCTCAAGCTTGCAGGATCTTACATGTCTAACAAGGTAATATGCATGCCTGCTAGATATTTGCTAAGTAAAAGAGAGAACTTAATAATAATTTTTAGGATTGAGCATGAAAAATAAATTATATCATAATGTCACAATCAATTAGCCTAGAATTTTTTTAAGACTTCGTCTTTCTCTGTCTAAGAGAAAGATAAACAGGAGGAGAAAGCTTTCAGACTTGGTCTTCAAGAACTCAGATTCTCAATGAACAGTGTGTGCCTTGTATTTTTCTTTACAAGCTCTTCCACATCCTGTCCCTGTCAAACCAGTCTTCAAAATCTGTATTTCTCACTCTTTGAACTCCCTCATCATACACTTTCCACACAAAATTATAATATTTACCTTCCAAGTCTTTCTCTGTTCTCTGCTGGTAGAAAGCAGAAAGCAGAAAGCATGAAAGAACAATTTTCATCTGAATTCCAAATCGATTTTAGCTGTGGAGCTTTTAAATTTCACTTTTGCTTTACTTGTCTCAGATAGCTAATAACCTGTATATTGAATAGAGCAAAAAGTTGTGTCTTTCCCTGTTTGTAAGTGGAACACTGACTCATTTATGTTTGTTATGATTTATAAAGCTGTAGGTAAAGGAGAGTAGGAAAAAATGTGAAACAATTTACTGTGCTTAACTCCAAAATAGTTCATTTGAGAACTGGACTTAAACCATTCACTGAAAGTCATGAGATAAGAGAAGAATCTCTATACTCAAGTAAACTTTCTTACCACCTCTATCATTCTCAATCATGTATATATAAGCTCGCTATTGGTAAGTGGGAAGTCTTTCCTCTATAAATCAGAAAAAGTCACTCTATATTTCTTCAAAGAGCTGTAACATATATTAACAAATTTACCACGTCTCTCAAAAATGATTGTAAATTAAGATAATATTGTATTAATTATTAGAAATTTATTTAAATATATAAATATATAAACATTCATTTCACTTCCTTCTCTGCATTTTACTTTTTTTTTTTTTTAAATCAGAGTTGTTGTAACCCTTTGCAATGATAAAGTTCTACTGGAAAGAGAAAAATTTAAATAATAAAATTAGAAAGCAGTTAATACAGATTAGGTAATAGTAGAGTGGTCTAAGAAGTACGCATTTCAACAGATCTCAAAAATAAAAATTCATAATGCAAGAAGAAAACATTGCCTCAAAACTCAACTAGAAAATAATGACCCCAGATTTTAGTACTACTCCAGATTTGACAACTTCCAACATTCACTGAGTATTATCTAGTTGCTATTGCTTTTTAAATAGTAACTTAAGTTTATAAAAATACAAGTATTTGTAACAGAAATGATGTGCAAATATATTTTCAGCTACAGCAGGTAGGTAGTATTCTATTCTATATGCTGAGCACGCTTCCAAGCAAGTGTAGTGCATGAACACTTTAGTTGAAATAAAAGAATCAGTAGAGATCACACTAGAAAAAGGCAGACAGAATATCTATTATCCTTAAAAGTTCTAGAGAAGACTGTTTTTAAAGAAATCTACTAGGGGCTATCAAAACATTTGAACCATACACAAGAGGAAAAACTGGAATTCACTAATTTTTCCAAATTGCTTTTGTAAGGCGTGTGGTCTAACTTAAATCTGTCTGACCTGGCAGTCATTCTTCCTGACAACTGACACTCACAGACTGACTTTTTTTTTTTCTCCTGAATGCCAAAGAACGAGACCGAGAAAAGCAGTTTTGAAGGAGAAACATCCACATTGCAATCCATATTCTATTATTATTATAATGGAGACATTTTATAAAAAGTTCTAATAATTCTATCATTTCAAAAAGATCTTGAAAGAAAGCATGCAGAATTTCCCACGATAAAAAAAGTCTTTGTGCCAGAATAATCTCTATATAATTGTAAAATATAAGAAATTATTAAAATAGAAGATATAAAGAAGAATTTCAATCTTGTCACTAGTATTCCACAGGCACATTTTAGTACTGTACAAAATTATATGTGGATACAGTGCTCCACTCTACAGATAATTCAAAATCAGTAGTGTAGCCTACAATCCTATGTCATTACTTAGGCAATTCTCCTGTTTTCCATAAGAGACAAGAAGCTAGCCACTATTTACACCTCCTCACCTTAAATTCAATGACTCATAACATGCTCTACTAAGAAAACCTCTGTATTGCCTGTGAAATTCCAACTTCAACACAAACTAGGTAGCCTGCACCATGAAGAAAAATTTCATAAAATCTCAACGGAAATTCAACATTTTATACCCTTATATGTCCTATGCAAAGTAAATCTGAGAGCTAAGCCTCATACTTGTAAGATTTTTTTCCCCAAATGAAGCAACTCAAAATACAGAGTGGAGCATTCAGTGCATGAGCTGATCTAATACAATAATATATTATTTACTCTTCCACAAATAGTAAACTTGCATGTTGTGCAGTGTGTGCAGAGACAGTTATTGTACTGTTTGCAGATATCTAAGTAGCTGATAAGAACACACTTCTGATTCCCAGTAGCAAAAGAGTATGAACTACTACTTAACAACCTCATTCACTGCATTGAAGAAACTGTGCTGTATTGTGATGGCCTTCCACATTCAAGAATGGCAACGAGATCTTCAGCAAATGTCTACATTAGCTTTATTTAGTTATTTTTCAGAGAAATGTATGGTGCTATCAAGTGCATTTTTGACCTAGGGTTATGTCCTGGTATACTAAAAAAATTAAC